TGTAATTAATTGTAGGAAATTAAATTTCCAAAATTATTTTCTTCATGCCTTTCACGTACATGATATCAATATGTAAGAGAAATAATAGTGAACATAGTCTCGCGTATTCTTTGCATGAACATTTCGCAGGTTTTCGAATACACCCCCAAATTGTGCTATGGGAGAAAAATATTTGTTATACACTTGTCAGAATCATAATGGATGGTTTCTATTCATTCACCCAGTCATCACTTCTAACTTTGTACAACGTTGTAGCTGAGTGACAGCAGTATGAAGGTGACATTCCTTTTCAAAGTGTTACAAATAATACTATTTCCCAAACACACTCGCGTGTAGTCTAAGATTGCACCTGGGTGCGGGCAGGTGTCGATTTTCTTTTAAACATGGATGGTATTTAGTCACTATTTACATAAATCAAACTTGTGTTAAGTGATTATGTTGATAATTTTCAAGATCGTTGGAAAGATGGTAGATCTATGGGGTCTTATGGTATGCGTTCTTAGAAAACTGCTTTCCATCATACTGAACATGACAGACTTTGGCATCCTCCTCAAAAGGAGTTATCTCTGTGACATGGAACCTTTTATTAATGCATTACAACTATCCCCAAACAATCAGAGAGAAGAGGTTATCTTACCTCGTCTCGGGCATTGTTGTCTTGCATATCTCAATATTTAGCATAATAAAAACATTTCTGCACATTGTACAGTTCATTATTAACTGCATTGTCCAAAATATGTGACTCAACGTTAGGTAATGATGTAACACTTGTCAAAATTAAAGAAATGTCGTATACGACACTATATATAAATTTATCAATTTCTTGTTCAAACAAACAGAAGATTATCAAAGGTTCATACATGTTGTGGCCTAGATTTACGTATGATATCATATCGAACATTGACAAATATCCAAAGTGCAATTAAATGTGTGAAAAAATGTATGAAAGATATGCAAAATCTACATAATAATTATAACTGTAAACAGCAGGATACAATGATCGTGTGTGCTTTCATTCAACATTGTTCAAGGACCTTCACCTCCAAGAAATTACCAAATGTCTTCAACAATGTTGGCGTATGACATCACTACCGGTGACCGACTTTTACAAAATGGCGTGTTCACTGTCAACAGTACGCGGGATTTTAAGAAGGGACTTTCGTTGATTCAGGAATCGTGCATGCATAAATGTGACATGTAAATAATCAGAAACATTCTCACAATCAGTGTACTGTTATTTGTTGTGATATTTTTCATTGAAACCTACGGGAATAGTCAGAAATTCCGATAATTTCCCTTGTCGTTGTGCGTGATTTTGCGTCAGTCATGGCGTCTGTTGAAAATATCAACCATTGCAATGTATCTGTTTTTAGTTCCCTAATTCTGCATACGATTCTCTTCCCATGCATATTCTGAAATTGTTGTGCCAATGTATTAAATGAATAGACGAATGGATAGTTCAAAATAGGACTTTGATTGATTTCATCTACACACTTTGTATTGGTGACAAGGACCATATGTGTCATTTGATTCTACTCTGTATGGGGAATTCAAGGATGTATATATCGCAGCTGAGTATGAAATAACGTGATGTTACAGGCGTCTCATAACCAGTATACGTGAAACGTGATTTTGTAAACACTATCCAATATGACGGCAAGTTCACTTCGGCGTTCGTGTTTGCGTATTTACCAAGACATTCTAAACGATTCTAGGGCTATCGGCGACGTTTTGGAATGATCATTGAGGATTTGATCAAAGACAGATACCCGTGATGATATGCTATTTTTGAAATTCATTTCTCCGAGTAACGCGAAGATTCCGGGGTAGAATAGGTCTTCAGCAACCCATGCTTGCCGTAAAAGCATTCATGACCAACTCGTGTTATTCCGAGACAAGCCGAATAGCGACTCGTGCCCCTCTCGTGGCCATTTTGCGACCGGGTTCCGTCTTAGCGCAAACGGGCATACCTAAAACAATTGGCGATTCGTTGCGTAATGGTTCACATATATATCCCCATATATCATATATATTTCAGATGCAATTTAAAGCACATCGGGACTTGCGGAATTATACAGTATGATTGAACACATTTAACTGTGTCTTGGGTATGTAAAATCAAAAATTATTTCTGAGGGATTCTTTGACGAAGTACTTGAAATCATACGCGCATTCTGATTAGTTTGTCGTATTTTCGCACATAACATTCATCGATAGGGGGACGAGTCTACTTGCAGGTTACGGAAAGGGGCGAGTGATGACGAATGCCGTAAAAGGTGACTATGCTTGTCGTAAAAGGCGACTAACGGGATCGGGTGGTCAGGTTCGCTGACTTGGTTGATGCATGTCATCGATCCCAATTGCGTGGATCGATGCTCATGATATCAATCACTGGATTGTCTGGTCCAGACTCGATTATTTACAGACCGCCGTCATATAGCTGGAATATTGCTGAGCGCGGCGTTAAGTAACCAACGAAATTATCCTTTCAAAACATTCTGTAAATAACGCCGTGAGTGGTAATTTAGTAATGTGTAAAAGAATGTCGACATTTACTATGCACCTAATATTCAGAAGTCATTTTCAGTAATTTTGCTTGGCCCAAAATGCCAGTGGATGACATGACCAAACAGGGAATGACCCACCGTATTCAAAACTGTGAAGTGTCGCTGCAGTTTGAATTTTATTCGACTTCACAGTGAGGGTTGAAGAGGGACAAATATGTCAGGTTCTCTACTTCATAATTTTTTTAGGAATTTTGTAAGCCTTCATTCTGGACAAGGTGTAAATGGACCTCGATCGTTGCCCGAAAATCTATAAAATCTTCAAAGATTAATCAATCATAAATCAAACGATTGCAGTCTACTTTTTATATAATATTTACGTTAACTGTTCTTATGACTTTGTTGTTCTGTGTGATTTACGACGCATCTTAGAATAGCGACCGTGACGACAGTTACATTGTAACTTGGTGGTGGTGTGGTAGAAGTTGCCTCTTTACATTTTCAAGGAAATACAACATTAAACATATGGGTACCAATAGTTTGGCAACTATCCATGAAACGTGATAGCTTCCTACATTATGTCAATGGAACATAGGTTATTAAAGAGTTGACTTCAATAACTTAGTTTATGGAGGTATTTGCAAACGAAAAAGCTGGAGTGCACACTTTGTGTAAATCCCCAAAAAATATTGAAGTGACTTCTTGTAAATATATATGTCAACAATAATAACTTTGCAGCTCTTTTAACCATTTAGAGTGCATGATCTAATTGTTTTAGGTTTTTGGGAATATACAAACGCAAACAAAATCATCGAATTTCAGAATAACAATTTGTTTTATATTTTCTGTCTTCACTTAGAATTTAACCCATGAACCACTTTTAATCCGCCGTAGCGCTCCTAAAGATTAGCGAGACTGATGTCGGTTGATATTGTTGGTCTATATTCCACCCTATAAAATTGCCCGCCATCAGATTTTGGTTTACCACAGCAAACGCAAGATGACACGCTTTTGACAGGTGCGTCCCTCCCCTGTATCAGCATTAGCGTAGCCATTTTTGAAAATCACCGGATGTGACGTCAAATAAACACGCTGAGTGTTTTTAATTTTGGCCTGTACCGGCTCCTAGCTTGGCGCAAGTTGACGACGCGCATAGGGAGCCGGGAACCAGCTTACATAACACCACTCACTCTCCTACCCAGAGTTCCATGCGGCCGGCAGCCAGCTAGCATAGTACCTCTGCCACAGGCCAGCGCCATGTGACGATTCGTCACATCTTTCACAGTCCATTCAAGATATTGCATATGATTTTCATCCGTTTCATGTTTGACAAGTCTACACATTTTCATAAACAAATGTCAAAGAATGGTTAACTTTCATTGAGAAAGTATGCAAATACGTAAAAATCTACTTGTTTTCGCGTAGTTATCCTATGTTTACATTGGTTGTACGGCTCCACGTGCTGTCATCGAAGCCCAACGGAGAGCTAGCGACACGGTCACTTTGATGCATAAATATATATTGTCATGCAACTCACTGTCGCAGTTGTAGTAGCATATCTATATAGTTATGCAAAACAATATGTAAAGCGCCCCCAAATACTTGCATTAGTCCGTTCTATACTGATTTCTGAAAAAGCGCGTTTGTTTACAAACAAGAGAAAAGTCCGGTCACGTGATATGCAAATTAGCCTGTGGCAGTGGTGTTATGCTGAGTCACCACTGCGACGGAGTGTGAACACCACTGCCACAGGCTAATTTGCATATCACGTGACCGGACTTTTCTCTTGTTTGTAAACAAACGCGCTTTTTCAGAAATCAGTATAGAACGGACTAATGCAAGTGTTTTCATGATAATAGTTTCATGACAATATATATTTATACATCAAAGTGACCGTGTCGCTAGCTCTCCGTTGGGCTTCGATGACAGCACGTGGAGCCGTACAACCTATGTAAACAAAGGATAACTACGCAAAAACTAATGTATTTTCACGTATTAGGATATTTTCTTAATGAACCGTAACCATTCTTTGATATTTGTTTATGAAAATGTGTAGACTTGTCAAACATGAAACGGATGAAAAGCATATTCAATATCTTGAATAGACTGTGGCCTGTGCTATGCTGACTGGCTGCCGGCCAAATGGAACTCCACAGCCGAGAGTGTAGACTTGTTCCCTGATCCTCCGCTTTGTGTCGATGCTCTTGCTCCGCTTTCCAATCAAAGGTACGTCGCGGGAACGAACGGGAACCAGTCTAACGAGAGTGTAACGAAGCAAGCTCCTTCCCAGCGCGTGACACCTTTGTTAAACCCTCGGTAGTATTAGAGAGCTTCGCGAACGGGCTATCGCTGTGAGGAGCTTGTTAACGAAGGTGTCACGCGCTGGGAATATCGCTGTGAGGAGCTTGGATCACGCTGGATACCTAAGCTGGTTCCCGGCTCCCTATGCGCGTCGTCAACTTGCGCCTATATTGTGATATTAGAGACGGGGCCTGGCTTACCTGAAGGGAAGCCCAGTACTATGAGGAAATACTTCACGAATGTGGGCTTCGCCGTTGGCGTCTTGTTCAAAGTATGCAACACGTTATTACTGTCACGGGCTGAATTGGAAGGACATTCGATCAATCAGGTAAGAAATGAGAAGTATGTGACTAGAAAAGGATACATTGTAACCATTATAAGGGAAACAGTCATTTCCAGTGTTCAGCTGAATAGATGTTTGTGTAGGCAGTGCGATGTAGGGCAAGATCTAACTAGGCTAATAGTAATAATTAACAAACTCGCAAAAACTCGTCTGCGAATTTGTTTGTTATTTTTATTAGTTACATGACACTGTGGTGTATGTGAAATGCTCTAATGGCTCTTTCACGAAAGATTGCGTGTTGTGCAAGATTACTGAGTCCAGAGACCATAAAATAGAGTCATTATCAGATTTGAGCATTCTCATGTCCCGTTATGTTTACATAATTTCAAAACTGTTGATCAAATATTTATCAGATTTGGCAATGTATTAAGAAAGACTTTATTCTAACACTAAATACAAATATAAACAACCAACTGTATTTTATGAACGATTCTGTGCAAAGTTTGGTAAAAGTGTGTGTCCCCAGGTCCAGTCTGCTGTTCAGACCATCCTGGACAACAAGCTGGAGGGTGTGGGCAAAGCAACGCACCTGGGAATACCCAGCTAAATTTGCAGCTAATGACATACTGCTGGCAGTATTAGTGGTTCTCCCAGAAATCCTCTAAATTCGAAATTCATCCTTCACCTGTTTCCAAAGCAATCTTAATCATGTTAATGCTACTGCAGTTGTAAGGAAATGTAAATAATGTTACAGCACCTTTGATCATCGTAGACAACGATTGCTTTGATCACAACGATCTCAGGCTATGGTGAGCAGAGGTGCAAATTTGTGAATGAATTTGTAGTTAGTTGTAGTAACCTAATTCCTTTTATGGCATATGTGGATCAATCACATAAAGAAGGAAGTTATGTTATGTGCGTTTGTGACACAATCCACAATTGAAAAATGCACATGTATGTCAACAACTAAGTATTTATTTTATAAGTTATCAGTAAATTTACGGAGTGTCAAAAGAACATGTAATTTTAGTGTGTAAGCATTAACAGAAACATTACAGGTATCATAGATTGATTTTGAAAACTAGGAGCACCTTAAGAACAGTACCACAACTTCCCGGAGGACGATCTCCACCATAGATCACGTCTCAAAGACAAGCAGCCAGTTTTTGTGAGAATCTGGCAGATGCAAACATGTGCCCTTTGAATTGTTAACCTGACACCTAACTGACTGAGCTACGTCCACACTGTGAAACTAAGTGCAAATTTAACTAGTCATGCCTACGCCGTTACAAAACTGAACAAAAAGTGTCGAATAGATGACGGACACTCAAGAAGGTTACAGGTAGGCATGGTGTCTTGTGACTTTAGTCTACGGACACTTACGAGTGATTCCGATGCCATTCAGTAATCAACAAGATACCAAGTAGTGAGGAGTGAACCGAAAATGGCTCCAGTCTTCAGATATCGAACTCGCGGGTATGCATGAATGACATGGTATTTAATCATTCGTCAAGTGATTTTTGTAACAGAAAAGTGTTTTAGGGAACCACAAATATTAGATATTAAACCTTGACATCTAACAGTCATTTCACTATCACAGATATGTTGCATTTCATCATATGAAAAAGCGGTATTTTAATTATTTTATGTAACTATTTTGTATGGTGCCAGTATCGTGTGGAACACATATCATTAATCTTTATTCATCAAGAGTGCAAATGGTGTTGCTGCCGATCACTTCCGGACTGCACTGCACTTTACCGATCTCTCTAAGTGTGTGTTCAGGCTATACTAAACCAGAATAATACTACCAAGAAAGTATGACTCATAGTTAGGCCGACCTGATTCTACAGAAAAAACATTTCTTTTCGAGCCAATACACGTTAGTATGCAGTAGCCATAATCAGAGCTCCAGATAAGCTTTTGGTGTTGTGGGTATTTTACCCATGCATTTTAAAGTTGTTGGGTATCAGTAATTCTATCTGGGTATTCAAATTTCTGTTACCCACTAGTTTTTACATATGTGGGTATTTAAGTTAAATATTTAAAAACACTAATCATCTAGTCCCTGCAAACTGGTGTCGTGTGGGTTCGAGAGCTGTGTAGGACTCAAAAATACCACGATACTTCCACAAGAAAGTGTGATGGCAAATGATCATGATAACTGTCATCTAGGAGTTTGGCAAGGTTGACGGAATGCCCGTTTATAATTTCAAAATAAGTTGCTGATTTGCTAATCGAATACGCAGGGTTATTTCACAATATTTTGATGATACGCACAAGTTATATTTTTGTAGTGTATCTGTAATGTTTGTTGCGTATTTGATACGCTTGGATTTTTATTTTACTGAGTATTTCTGCATTTCTGATGCGTATTTTACGCAGATACGCAGCTTATCTGGAGCTCTGCATAATGTACCACTTTTGTACTAATGTGACAAGGATGATGATGTCCCATGTTGGGTACTGGAGTGCAAGTTGAGTTTGACCCCTCGGGTACTCAAGTCCAAAAATTTGGATGCATTCAAGCCCTATCACTGATGTCACACATACTACTGCCTATTGACAGAGGAACATGGGGGCACTGCCATTTCTAGACTTAGGTGCCTTACTTTCTATAGTTTAATTGTTGTTAGTTGCACAATGGCATTGCTTAAATTGTAAACTCCATCACACAGATTTTTCACTTTAAGGGAATAAGAGTCTGTGCCAAACAATCTTAAGTAGTGTTTACTTGGGTACTGCATTATGCATGCCTGTTATTATTTTGCATACAAAAAGTTTTTGTTGATGATCATGCCTGATGATATTGTCAGCATTGTCACAATGTGTTAAATGCATCCATTGTATTGACAACTGAATTATGTAATTAACAAAATTCGAATACACATTATTATCAAGGGATTCAAGTTGTACAGTCCATGGCACAACTGCGAGTATAATGGTTTAGTATTGGGAGTTGATTATGTTTGATGCAAAACTGCCAGTTTTTAGGTATAAACATGATAAAGGGACCACTACGCATTTGCGTCTTGTTTGAGCAATGTTATACCTTTTTTAAACATAGCAAGACTATACCTTTGCTAATAACAAGATATATGCAGATGAGCACACGGTAATTTCCTCCTAATTATTGTTAGATGTAAAAAAGAAAACACACAACTATGTCAGCACACCTTTTCTCACTTAAACAGATTTCTCAAATTCTGATCATACCATTCTTGGACAAGGCACTACACTGTCAGTATTAAAGCTGTTTCTTCATTTTTTTTATTTTAGAGGGATGGCTCCACTCTTAACTCAATACCGACCATGTTGTCTCTTTACCAGTAGCCTTCTCCAAGTCATGTTGAAAGACACCGGATTAGGCTTACAATCACAAGAGGCAATACATTGGCAGGATTATGTGGCAACAGCAATGTATACTGAACAACAAAAGTTCCTTTGACGTTGAATAAGATTTAATGCAAAGTTATGTTTTTTACCAAATCTGAAACAATTTCGGTTTGCAACATGTGATATGATCCTATTTCGTTTTAGATCATAGATTAAAATCGTAACTCGTCCAGAAACGAACCAGATATTAATCTATGATCTAAAACGAAATAGGATCATATCACACAACAGATAAAAGACTCCTGTAAGTGTTCCAAATGGTTTAATTTGCCATACTGACTTCAGAAAACGCGTGATTTCATAAAAAACATGAACATGCCAAAATGTCAATTTACAAATCAATAGCGTGTGTGTCCACCTCTGGTTGCGATGCAAGCAACACATCTTTATCTTCATCTCATGGAATTGACCAGGCCTCGCACAAAGTCCTGTGGTAATCTGTCCATATCTGCTGGAGCATGTTTCGAAGTTCCTGGAGTGTCTGTGGAACACGTGGTTGACGTCAAAGGCGCCGATCCATCTCATCCCACATGTGCTCGATTTGGTGAGAGATCAGGGGGGGGGGGGCGGCCAGGGGATGACATTCAAGTTGTTTTGTTGAAGAGAATCCTGAACAACGTCGAGCAATATGAGGCCGGGCGTTGTCATGTTGAAAGGTAATGCTTGGGCCATGACGACGCAAAAACAGTAGAACAACAGGGCCGATGATCTCGTCGTGGTAGCGCAGTCCATTGAGATTTCCCTCTACCACTTTCAAACGGGTCCTCTGTCTTGCTGTAATCCCTCCCCATAGCATGACGCTGCCGCCCCCGAACCGATCTTCTGTGGCTGAGGTGAAAACAAGACTCGTCAGTGAATAGAACTTGTCCCCGCTGCATGTCCGTCCAGCGTAGACGCTGTCTGCACCTCTGTAGACGTGCTTGACAGTGGTTTCCGGTCAAAATGGGACGCCTGGCGGGTCTTTTGGCGACAATCCCTGCACGTCTGAGGCGACGGCGTATGGTTTGTGAAGATATTCGTCGAAAGCCAGGGATGGTTCTTGCAGTCACTGTTGCTGGCTAGAAACGATTTCGTAGGTGTGATGTTTGAATCTAGTTGTCTTGTCGATTATTGGTTACGCGTGGCCTGCCCCTCTGAGGATGGTCTCTGACTGCATTCGTCTGTTACCATTTGGTGTTATTGGAAGCAGCAAGAATTATCATTGGTTTACCACGCTATACTTCTGTTAAAATATATGTATTTGGAAACCTCCTTGGAACCCTTATCGGAGCGTAGGAGAAATCATAGATTGTGTTTATTTTATAAAATACATAACACTATGACACATTCATATCTTAAAGACGTCGTACCTCACTCTGTCGGATCAAACATAACATACAACCTTCGCATTGCTCATAATATAACCATGCCTTTATTACGTACAGCGTTTTCTGAATCCTCGTTACAACATTGCTCTATTACATTTTGGATACATTACTCATTCAACAAAGGAATATTGAAACCTTCTCTCCATTTAAATCCAGTTTAATAACATTTAAATATACAGTTCCACCATAATTCTCATATAAATTAGCATTATACCTACAAAATTAAGACATGTGATAGTAAATTACATATGAGGTTCAAACGAGGATCCAACTACTGATGTG